GCCTTCCCTCGCCCGTCATGGCGACATGAGGAGCCCGCCGGCCGCCGCCGCCGCCCCGGGCATGGGCCCCGCACGGTGCTGAAGCGCCGCGGACGAGCCCCGGCGCCGCCGTCCCGCCATGGGGTGCTGATGGCCGGGCCCCGCCGGGCACCCCGCCGCCGCGCAGGGGAGGTGAGAGCCGGGCGGGCACGGGGGGAGCGGGGGCTGTGAGGGCTGCGCGCACAGCATCGCTGTCCAGCGCTAGCGTTAGAAACTAATTCGTAATCACAAACGCGCAAAGCATCCTGCGAGCGGTTGCTTTGTGTGTCTGTGCGGGTGCGGTGATCGGCGGTGCCGGTCCCCCATCTGTGCACTAACTGTCACTTTCTGGTCATACTCAACATTTAGAATCAATGAATGATATGGGGTTGGAAGAGACCTTAAAGGTCTAGTTCCAGTCCCCCCTGCCATGGGCAGGACATCTGCACTAGACCAGGTTGCACTAAGCCCCGTACAACCTGGCTTTGAACAGTGCCAGGGGTGGAGCAGCCACAACCTCCCTTGGACAACCTGTTCCGGTGGCTCACCACCCTGACAGGGCAAAATTTCTTCCCAATACCTAACCCGAATTTCCCATCTTTCAGTCTGTACCTGTCACTCCTTGTCCCGTCACAACAGTACCTCGTGAAGTTTCTCTCCGGCTTCCCTGTAGGCCCCCTGGTTCTGTTCTGCTCTCTTCATATACTTCATTTGTAGAGATTAAGTTTGAAGGAAGAGCAACGTGTCCCTCTGTAAATCCATCTTCAAGGGGATGTTCCATAAATTCATTCCCAGTGGGGTCAGGTGAAAGGGGCGAGACTGCCCTGCAGAGGAGTATTCGCTGGCTTCCTTAAGCAGACAGAAGATAAACTCTGCAGAGAATTTTGACCGGCTGGTAGAAGAATATTTTAGACAGCTCTGAGCTTTGGCACATCTGCTTCAAATCTGAGAGCCAAATCTGGGGAGATTCAAATGCCTTTCTTTACTTGCACAGTTTACTGCAATACTGGCTGAAGCCTACAGCAAAGCCATGAAGGTTCAAGTAGGGTAAAGCCCAGTATATAGCTCTTAGTTTGACAAACACCTAGAAAGGCAAAATCGGAATGCAAATAGCTTGTTCATAGGAGTTGCTGCCTTCTTTAAAAACCTGTAATAATCATAAGGCATTAAAAATGGAAAAATTACTTTGAGACTTAAGCTAATGTAATGACTATTTCTTTTACAATTGTAAGAGATATACTAAGAAAATATGGCTGTATTTTATCTCTTTCTCAGCAATAGTGTCTCTGTTTAATAACTTCTTGAAGGATATTTGAAATTTAAAGCCCTTGTATATGCTAGTATTTCCTCTCATTAAGTACTTTAATTTACTTTGTAGAGGCCTAGAGGGTTTAGTATTTTTGGGTTTTTTTCCCCTTTATCTAAATCTAAAAATTCTATCCTACTGCATATATTTGATTACTCATATAGAAAGAGTTTGTTTTTGTTTTTTTTTTGTCAGTCTCTTCTCCCAGGCAATCAGCAGTAGGACAAGAGGGCACGAGCCTAAGCGCTGCCAGGGGAGGTTTAGGTTGGATATTAGAAAGAAGTTCTGTATAGAGAGAGATCAGGCATTGCAATGTCCTGTCCAGAGAGGTGGTGGATTCACTGTCCCTGGAGGTTTTTAAGACGAAGCTGGATGTGGCACTGAGTGCCATGATCTAGTAATCACAGTGGGGTTGGATCAAGGGTTGCACTTGATGATCTAGGAGGTCTCTTCCAATGCAGTTAATTCGATGATTCTCTTAGCCAGGTGGGTTGTTTCGTGCCTGTGGTAAAAAGAAAGCAGATTGGCAAAAAAAAAAAAATTCACCTGAAAACTGAACGCAGAAAAACCTGTTCCCGTATCCTCCCCTTTTGACCCTGTGAAGGAGGAAAAAAAAGAACAATCCCTTATTTGCCTGCTCTTAAAAATGAGGGTGTTAGAAGGCAGACTGGTTGTTTCAAGCCTGAATTTAAAAATGCTTTTCAGCATCAGCCTTTGTCTGCTCCCAAACATTCTTTCCCTGGTGCGCTGCAACAGCCTGTGCGTAG